CGTAAAGCTAATCAAGTGAAAAATGTCCTATTGAATACAGATATTTGAAGCATATCTTAATGTATTTATTTATAGACATTCCTCTAAGCATGTCTGGTCTCACGAGAAATTATGTAACCGAATTTTTTACTATATTTAGAACCAATGAGCTGTTAGCTTCAAAAGTACCTATGCAGCTTTTTCAAGTGTTTTTGTGTTTTTGAAAAAATGTGTCATGTCAAACCTTTTAAGGTTTTAGCAAGATCTACTTTTATCTCGAGCTTTCTCTTCTGGCTCAAAAGATGGTTCTACTCACACAAAAAAGGAGTTTCTTTAACATCAAAACAGCAGTTGTTTTGATATGATTATGGCCGTCAATGAGAAATTACATCAGTAAAATAATGTTATTGAACACTTACCATCTAGAACAAATATTAAGATAGACAAAAACTAATCCATACGTTCTCGTCTATAACTGTGCTCATTCTGGCTTGTCTCGAATTGTAAAAAAAACACATATTACCTTTCTTCTCCAAATTAGACACTATTGTCACGTAAAACCACTCAAAATAAAGACAACGACACCTTATCCTATAAAACCACGTCTACTGTTCAATCATGGGCTGAGATAGATCTAGAAACAAAAACCTATACTAGCTATTTAAATTAAACTTTCGATTTAACTTCTCATAGATAAATCTAGACGAGCAAATTTTCATTTATTATTGAAAAAAATCACCTCGTTTAGCTACTTATTGACAAGAATTTAAACGACAAGAAAACAAATTTATTATTGAGTATCATTGAAATTCAATTTATCATTTAAATTAAATTCACCATTTAGCTGTTGATTGAAAGGAATCTAAAATAAACCAAAACAAGCTTATTATTGAAATCCAGATTACCATTTAACTTATCATGAGATGAACGTAAAGGAAAAAAAGTAAATTTGTTATTGAATACAGATCTACAAGCCAATTGTTTATAAGACGAATTCAAAAGAAGAAAAAATTTTTTATTAGGTCTTGTTTCCAGATAATTCAGCTTAGTTCAAGTGACTTACACTGGAAACATCTGTGTAAAAGAAGTTCAGCATAAAAAACAAGGTACAAGATCGAACTCGTCTGAACATCTAGATTTTCTTGTATCTGACACGGTTTTTTAAATGATATAGAATCTTTGATGATTACATGAATGAAGTCTTTAAAGTTTCAGCATATTCTTTAAAATCACGAAGGGTTTCTGATGACACCTTATTTTTTCAGAGAGTGACATAAAAACAAAATTCAATTCATCATGCAGTACTTTAGTAGCAGTTGTTTCAATTTAAAGTTGATAGAATGATTTATCAGGTGATGATAATTTAAACTTTATTTTAACTATTCTTCTCTATTCTTTATGTGATTTTCATTATTGAACAAAAAGAAAATGAAAAAACAAGACAAGGTATCTATGAAAAATCAATTGTTTATCAAGACTTTATCAACACATTAAATGATCGCACGATAATCAATGAACGATGATAATTAGCTATTTTCTACATTTTCATCAGTTAATACCGATTGTTGTTAAACACACAATGAAAGGTCTACAATTCATGAAACATAGCTTATTTTATTCAGCAAATTTTTCTTCAAAATATAGACAAAATTTTATTCGACCAGGTTTCAATCCTACAGATATGATCGATTTGTTATTTTATCTTATTTCAAACGCAGAAAACACTCCTAAATGACGAAAAATATTTCTTATTACAACTGAACTATATCACAAATCGACAGAAAGAACGGACAAACAAAAGATATACAACAAAAGACTAAGTATTCAAAAAAGAATTATAATGCGATTAGGTAGAGAGATATTCATCATCCATGCTCTAATAGTAACTACAACTCATTTCCATTTTGTCATAACAGTTGTAAAGCTCCATTGGTGATAGTACATTGCTTGACAAAAGAATATATATCAAATGCTGAAAGTTAAGTAAATCGATGTCTTCGCTACTAGACTAGTTCTTTTTCAAAAATACTCTTTCGGTCTATTATCTCATTTTGAGATTCATTTGTTCAATTTATAAGTTAAACAGAAACCTATGCGTGGATGAATTTCACTGTGATGAGTATCAATGTTTCATTCGCTTGAAACTTACAATTTTGCTTAATTATATATTCTTTCATGACATTTTCATCTTTATTTTGTTATTTACATCTTCAAAGATGAAACATTGTACTGCCCACAAATGTAAGAAAACAAATTTTCTTCTGTTTTTGGTAAGGACAGTGTACATTTTTCATAAAATATGCTTAAAAATGACCTTCCATTTTCTATGATATTTAATTCTCATAAAATATTGTAACCTGATTATTATGTTGAAATCATTTTGTCATTTGCACAATCTAAGATATACAGTTGATTTCGTCTTTGAACAACATCATGCAACACTGCATAGATCTTAGCAAATACTTCCATAGTGTGAAGAGAATTATTTCAAAGTCATAGACAAATCGAAGTCATCATCAACTAGTTGTCAACAAAATTCTTGGAAATACTTTATATCAGATGTGTTACAGAGCCCCTAGACTGTAACGAAGATTTATGCTATATAAATAACTTTTTGCTGATTGACCAAAAGCTTCATCCTCTCTTCAACTTCTTTATTATTTAAATGTCTCAACTATTCATCCATTTCTAATACATGCATAAAGTAAACAGAGAAAAAACACAAAAGTAGAAAATAAAGAGAGAGGTATAGCAGATATTGTTCTCCTCTCTAGATAATAAACAACATCACTTCAGGCATCGTCTTTCCAAATGCACTTCACCTTGAGAATAGGAGAAAATGTTGAGTATGTATTAAAATTACCAAGGTCGAAAAGAAAAGTAAGAGAGTGAGAAAGTAAAGAAAAAAGCATTCAGATATATGTGCAAGAGTGAATAACGCATAATAGAGGATGAATACATACATACATATACATACAACAAAAATAAAGAAAAAATAAAAATAAACAATGAATGTTATTCGAATACTCTCTTACACGACGCTATGATTAATAGTATACAATAGTAGAAATTATTCTGCAATCGATGAAATAGGAGAAGAAATTCATTGTGAAACAAAAATATGATCTTACTCGTATACTCAAACAAATGTCTTATAATACATTTTTCCTTTGTTCAAAAACTGTCTTAGATAATGAAAACAGCAATCATTCAGTATGTTTAATGCATTACAAGTATTATGAATTAGTATTTAAAGCTGATCATTGCTAAATATAATCTGAAACAGATTAGTAGAATTTCTGTACAAACCATTATAAATCTCTGATGAAAATGCTGACGATTTTATCAATACTTTACATGCATCAAGCTTTTTCATTTGTTTTGAAATAGTTTCTTTCGTTAACAGACAAGGATTTATTTTAATAAATATAAACAATGTACAAAATAAAACTAAAATACTAAAATTCTTCTCTTTTTCTTTATGAAGGCTGAAGTTTAGTAAAAGTGAATAGATAAAATATTTATTTATATGGAGTTTATAGAAATACTATGTTGTCTAGAAAAATCAAATCTGATACATGATCGTCATGTCATATTCAGCATCGCATTTCATCAATATGTGAGAAGTATGCTAAATTATTTGGGAAGACAAAACAGCAAAATTAATTGCAGATTGGTACTATATGCTGACAAAGAAATTGACATTAAATAAGAAACTAATATTTTTCTTGTTGATGATTTTAATAGGAATAACATCTCTTGTAACCGATGGATAATTGAATGGCATAGAAGTATTTTTTTCTGTTGTTATCATAAGACCTTTGAAAAAGAAAATATTTAATTTGAAATTTTGTTGTTTTCTGTATGCCTTCGTAAACAATAGACCTTCACTTTAATGTATCTGGGGCTTGAAACAAGCTATTCATCTTTCACATCAAATGCTTTTACTTAAACAAGAGATCTCCTGAAATCAATAATACCAAGTGTTCGGATAGAAATTTTATTATTCTGACGCGAATCGACTAATTGATAATTATCAAGGATAACTTTTGGTACTGATGAGCATTATGTGTTAGATTAAAATGTCGTGTTTCATCATATAAATCAACTACAATAATATTATTTGTCAGAGTTTTGAAAAATATATCGCATCATAGACAGTTTAAAGTCGATCACTTCTTTTCACAGTCACCATTGAGAATGTTTTGCAATGGTGTTCTCATATTATTCATACAAGTTAATAAGCCCGTATGAAAAGAAATGAAGAAGCAATATTTTGCCATATGTCTCTATTCAATGGGATAGAGAAAAGAAAGCGCTTTTATTTTATGTATTATTCATGATATAGTTGTTGGAAAAAGAAAACAAATAGTATACATAAAAAATACAATGTGTAACTCTATACAAGATGAATATTATCTAGTTTTGAGTCATCCGTGTGCAACTTCAATAAAATCCAATAGTCTTACTCGAATGAGCAATGATTTATAATATACAATCTGACTATTGTGAGAGTAATAATGTCAATTTAGATAGGAGAGGGTAATTACATGGCTTGATGAGCCCCTCTATTTGATTTATACAGTCAAGGATCAATAATATTTGTCTTACGCATGAATAGATTGATACAAAATAGAACAACATATGTTTTTTAACAATGTATATTCATTCACGAAACGTTTAGATAAAATCGATAAAAGAAGCAAATTTGTTATGCATTCCCATGTGCGCTTGTTACATTTATCAAAAGCAAAAAATTTGTTGTTTTTTCAAACAGAAAGCAAGTCTAAAGACATGAAGCTCAAAAATTTGTTTACCAAAATAAATAAAAAATAAGAATAATTTGTATTGAGGGTAAAATCTAGCTCTATCAAAAGGGGTAGTGAATCAATGTGAATAATAAACGAGTAGCCTATATAACTGAAGAGAAAATTGCATATTTGCCATTGTATCTCAACTGTAACAATATAACAGTAGCTGATCAATCTATATTATTACATTTTGCAACACAAAGCTTACTAATGACCAAGAAACATTTTGTGAAAAACAAAAATACGGGAGAAAAATATCGACTCGATGGTTTTTTAGAATCAAGCAGTCCTCCAGCAAGTGAACAGTTAAAAAAAAAGTTTACTGATCATATTCAGCTAAAACCTGATCAACTTCCGCCTAGAGTCGATCTTCGTAAACAAATGACTCCTATTGAAAATCAAAATCCACTGGGTACTTGGTATATATTAAGTATTTGACTTTAATACATCATATCTATAAAATTTCTATGTATTTAGTCTATCGTGTGCTTTTGCAGGTAAATATGAATTTTGTTATTGAAAATTTGATAAATGTTTGATTGTAGGAGCTTTTGAATATTTATTAAAAGACAATAGTGGAAAACATATTGATGTCAGTAAGTTATTTATTTACTACAATGCTCGAAAAAAAACAGGTAAACCAATCCAAGATAAAGGTAGTAATATAACATATACTCTGGAAACACTAAACGAAATTGGTGTTTGTCCGGAAAGCGCTTGGAAATACGATATTGAAAAAGTCAACGAACAACCAAGTGATGAAGCATACGAAGCAGCTAAGAATAACAAGATAACTAGTGCATTAGAAGTCAATCAAGATTTAACTGAAATGAAAACATGTCTAGCACAAGGATACCCATTCGTATTTAGTGTGCGATTATTTGATCATTTTTTCGGAACAGGAAAAGATGGTGTTGTACGAATGCCAGCACCAACAGACAAACAGGCAACAGAGCACAATAGGTTTGATTTGCTTAAATTTTTACTATAGAAAAAGCTACATTTAAAATTGATCATTCTAGACATGCAATGGTAGCTGTTGGATATAGTGATAACACAAAAGAATTTATTGTGCGAAATTCATGGGGAACAAACTGGGTAAATAAGAATCGCTTTGAAATAAATATTTATATTTTGATATTCATATTAGGGTGATGAAGGATATTGTTATATACCATATACTTATATGACGGATAGCGAATTATGTTTTTACAGATGGGTTGTTCAAGAAATGGATACTGATATGATCGAGGGTGACCATCGTATGGAGGACGATTCGACTGCTCTGCATCCAGATGATGAAGAAGACGACCACACGGAGGAGTTTGAATATATAGATGAAGGAGAAGCTGATGAAGAAGCAGATGGTGAACAGGAGGAACCCCAACAAGAAGAGCAAGCTGATCCTGACAACCAATAAAAAAAATTCGAGTGACAAACCAATAATTACATAAGAAATTGACAAATTTTTTTTTTTTTTTATTTTAACAACAAATATTCAAACTAACAAATTTACTTTATAAATTTTTTTTATTTTATCCTGTCATTTTTTTTATACTCATAAACGCTTATTCAATAAATAGTTAACTCGAAATTTCTGAAACATATGCAAGAAATATGTTCATTCAAATAAATACTAAGAAGAATTATTAGCAAAGAACTGTATTTTTCTCCTTTTGAACAAATAATTGGTAGAAATATTTATCAGAATTCAAGCAGCATCAATGCTAGAAAATTTGGTTAATCTGTTAAAAAATTAGTGTTTGTTTTAATGATACATTGCACCATCAAACTCTTTTAAATGTCAGCTGTTCATTCATGTGATGATTAAACAATATAAGTGTCCATGTCTGATGTGCACATTAATTTTTTTTATCTGTAAAATGTTAATGTCATAGAGCAAGTGAATGGGAACAAGAGTACAGATTGATCATGTAGCAGTGGCTTATATCAATAAAAATATATTAAGACTGCATTTGACAGTTTGTGACAAGATAATAAAATCAAATGAAATACTAACGGAACAGTACGTATTGCTTAGTAGTAGTTCTTAAAATGGACCGTACGAATTTGAAGTATACTTTTATTTGCAATAAAAATTTCGTACATAAAAGAATAGAGAATAAATTCTACTTCGAACTGATTGATATTGTACTAGTTGTATCCGATAAAAGTTTGATTTTTTACCTCAAACATGGGGTCTTTTTGAGATTAATCTATTTTAATCGATTTCTTCATAAAATAGGTTCAATCGATAAAATTTGATGAGTCGAACAAAATAAAACGACTAATTGTCATTGATGTTAATCTTTACAGGTGTGGAATCAGAATTGAACAGCGCCATTTTAATCGACGTAATACAATTCACATATATATTTGAAGAAAGTTATTAGTGAAATAGAAAACTAAGGTTTTCTCTGTTCGTGTTTAGGTCCTGATAGCGTTAAAGGTGTGTCAGTAATAACAGTGTCTAGTTTGATCTGCAACTTTCTAGAATCTTCCTATGAATTTGATAGATAAGTGTGAATGAATAGGATGTTGAAACCGTTGATCTTCTAGAGTCACAACAGGGCGAATTTGAAACAGAACAATTCTCAGATAAAGCAAAACATAGGCGTATGCGTTGAAGTTGGTCAAGAGAAACGATAGTGGTTGCCGGAAGTTGAGACAACCATCAATTAATGTGCGATGTATGCTTATATCCCAGTAACCATGCATTTTTAAGTTTGTAACGTGTTCCTGAGCGTTTAGCGTAAGAGAACTTCACGTGTTCGTACGCGTCTAAAATGCAACATGTTCAAGCGTGAGAACGCCTTCAGAAAACTAAACGCGTCTGAATGCGTTTACTTTATTTTTAAAAAAATTTAAAAAAACCATCACTTTGTGTGGGATTCGAAACGACGCACCATAGCGAACTATGATATAACACACAAATAACGTGAGCAACATAGTGGTAATTTATCCAGCGAAAGTTTGAACCAAGACTCGAACATACAACCAGCCGATTACAAGTCGAACACAACTAGCACTGTGCTATTCATAGCTCGAAACTATTTTTATGTTCATAAACCGAATGAATAACTCTTTTTAGATTAGTTAAGTCTAAGAATAGGGATGTTCATTTCTCTTCACTTCGTAAAATAAATATCAATAAGATATTTATATTCATAAAATCAAAATAAACATATTGTTTATATTTATAAACTGATGATTAAAGAAAAATAAAAAAAATAATTAATTACAAAATAGAGGAAATTTGAAGAATAAAGAAAGATCTATCTTTCATAGATAACCACAAAAATACGTGATAAAACAACATTAAATAATTGTTTCCATTTTCGTTAATAACACAATATGTAATGTATGAAAACATATATGCAAAAAACTTTATTTGTTTACTTATTTGTAACTATAGCCCTACAATTTTTTCAGATGTATAGCAAAAATAAAAGATTTGATCTTCAAAGAAAAGAAATTATTTAATTTTCTTGAATTTTTAACAATAAAATATTCATTTATTAACCCTAGTCGAGAATCCCTAAGCAAATCCTTGGAGAGTCCCTATGAAAATTTCCTATGGATTGACGAGGGAATCAAGAAATTCCCAGAAATTGATGTGGGAGTTTCTGGGGATTTGCTATGGAATTTCTGATGATTTGTCAGTAATATACCATGAGACTTACGACGACTGCAAACGATCGTACACGACGTTCTTATCATAATATCCATCCCTAGTAAAATCTCATTATAAAATACCCTCGAAGTATCTGGAGAATCATGGCAGAGATTCCACCAGGGACTGAGGATGAATGTAGGACTCTCCAGGGATTCGTTTAGGGATTCTCGACTAGGGATTATAACCCTACACAAACTACTTATTTTTAATTTTTAAATAATCAAGATTTTCTTTTTATTGAACCTTATCTTGTAAATATAAAATTTTTATTTATATTCATTCTTATTATAAAGAACAATAAAGCTAAACTAACATTCCTCTTTGAAAAAGTACCTTTAGTATACTTTCGATGAAATTAAATAGTTGAAAATAAAAGTAACGTTTATAGCAATTATTTGTTGATATAGGAAAGAGATTATGAACACAATAACAAAAACATTAAGATCGTAGTAGATCGTATGCGCATCATTAAACCGTTTTGGAAATATAGTAGAACGAAATATACAGCTTTTCGAACAGATCAATATTTTCAATAAATGATACATAAATAGAAAACTGATTTTGGCAATGATAATAATTCAGTTTAATTAACTTACTACAACAAACATAACATGATAAAATCTTCATTACAGCAGTGAAACATGAATGCCAGAATTCGGTTCTACAGCGACATACAGTGATCGAGATTTTTTTATTTTTTTTTTTGGAAATAAAGTTTAAAACGTGCAGAAACGGCTACCAGAAAACGAATCGTCTACCTGTCTTCAACATGGACTAGTTTAGATGCATTTAGTTTTTTGAACGCATTCAAACGCGTCAAGTGAATTGCTTAGAAATGCTCAGAAACGCGTTAAAAGTAGGCATCGGCGGAACTACTTTTTTTTTGGTTCCGGTTTTTAGTCTTGATTCCAGTAAAAACTTTCTATTGCTTCTGGTCCTAATTTCTTTTCTAGAACAAAATGACTTCTCTAATAATCTGTGTGTTTCTTTGAATTCATATAAAATGAATGTTGATGATTTCGAGAAATCAATAGTAGGAGAATACCTTTTTATGCATACATCAAAACTAAAAAAATATAACACTACTTTTTTTTGTCTGCCTGAAAATTCTCCTTGGTCATGACTATGTGGCTTAGAAAATTCTCTCAGAGCTCATAGTTCTTGCATAGATACAAAATCTAAATGAGTAAGTTTCGATGGATGTTGATTTAAGAGTCTCTTTGATAATATCAAAATTCAGGATCTGCAAAACTATAAGTATTATTTTTAGTAGAGACTTTGCGATGGTTCTCGTTCAGGAGCGAAAAAAATGTTTTTGCAGATCCACAATTTTATCTCAATCATAAATAAAAAGGGCCTACTTGTAGATCATTAGTTAGAACAGAATAGCAACTATGAAAATATGAAGTCTGGTTCTGGAACAGAAAACATCACGGGACCAGTTTTAGCAAGTTTTAAGTCCCGATCCTGGTCCCGGTCCCGATTCCTAATCTAGAATGACTCGTATCGATGAGCCATTGAAGCCTGGTTATGGCTGTTCAACTGAAATTTTAGTCCCATTTGAAGATACTTAGAATAAAGCAAAATATCGTTGTAGATGTGGTTGTGAAAGAAGAAAACAACAACAATACGTAGACCTTTCTTGTGTTAATGATAATTATTTCTTATGCCAAAGATTCTTAGAGCTGGGTCATGTACTTGCAATACTACAGAACGCAGTCAGTTTTTCATTGATCTGGTAAGTAGAAAAAAGTCCAAAAACATACAGAGAAGTTTACTTTGTGTTTTGAGTAGAATTGATTTTTGAAAAAAAAAAACGTTTTCCTTTCTCTTATTTCAAACTGTACATTTGATTGAGCTTGAATTTTGTCATGTGTACTTTGGTCAAACTAAGGCTTATGCGTGTTTTTTTTCTTCTGCCAAATGCGCGTATGAAATTCGATAGTCTTAGAAAAATTATTGCTATTGAAAAAATAGTTTTCGACTGTGCTTCTAGTATTGTCTTTCTCCTGAGTTATAGGAGCGATATTTCTTAAGGGAATAATACACGCCGCACTTTTGCTTCTAGTTTCAAAAAAAAAACTACAGCTAGAAAAACTGAAGTATCAAGTTTCGTAGGAGAAAGTGAGCTTCTGACGATTTTTAACTTCGCGACTCCTATCTCTCTTGGGATGAAGCATCTGGGAGTTTTAAATTTATGACAACTTTGTCTTTACTAATCGAAGTCTATGAGTCTTGAAAGTTTCATCATTTTTCGTCCAGGCATATCCAAGAAAACTCGGAAAGAGCGTCTTCATCATGGACTCTATCGAACATTACTAAATTACTGTCAGTTTAAAAAACCAACACTAGAATTTTTGCAATTCACTATTAATCAATTCATATTATAAGACTACTTCATGCTCAAAACATGCTCTGAGTGAAAATAAATCAAAGAAATTTTCTTCCTATACGCTGACTCAATTGGTTGATTTAAATCTTCACTATGAATAGTAGTTGATGATAGAATATTCACTCGAGTACATCAATATAGAGAAGAAACGATCCATTCTTATAGATTATATCACTATCTAATTCTGTCTCGAACCAATATGTCTAGTAGATTCGATATGTAGTTAATGGCTTAGCTGTTCATGGTGAAAAATAGTTTTAATGATTTTATAGTTACAACTATCATGTGTTGAAACCACAAGAAAATGTGCTGTTTTCAGGTGCTAATTCTTGATCATCTCGTCTGATTTCAA